GATGGCTATTCAATAGCAGAAAGACCTGGGTACTCTGAGTGCCTGGTCCAGAGTCTCCCTGACCTTAACCCAACATCACTAATACATACTGCTCCCTGAAAGCTAAGTTTCTTCTAACTCTAAGAGTTTGCTATTGAAGCACTCTTTCAGCGTAAGATAACTTCTGAGAAGAATTCAGAAGAGTGACAGCAAGGGTTATTATATTATTGATTTTGTTTTATTGTATTTGCCTTTGTGGAATTATTGAGGTGGAAAAAAATTGCTTTTTTTGCAGGAGGTGTGGGGTGGGGAGTGTTGTTTATTGGCTCCCATAGAAAGGTAATATTTATGATCTCCCCAAAACCAAAGAGACCTCATATTTATATTTCTGAAGTTGAAATTTGTGTTTATGAAAGGCCTTCCTACTGTTCAAGCATGAATGATGACTTGTGATACAACCAGCATCCTACCAGTTCTGTCTCCTATGTTGTCAGAGCCCCATGTGTGTGATGTTGTCCCCAGGCCTGTGGAGGTGACTATCTCAGCAGAAAAGTGCTTCATTCATGGGTACTAGAAAGAATGATTCCCAGCGCTATGAGGGTTAGCTCAATTTTGCAAAGCGCCTGCTTGGGTGAATTCAGGCATGGGGGACGCGGTTTGATCCCAAGCTCCATGTGCTGCACCAGACTCATTCTTAAGGCAGCCTGAGTCAGTCCAAAAAAAGGAAAAAAAAAAAAAAAAAAGAATCTTTCTAGAATGAATAATTCCCTTACACTGTGAAAACCAAAATCGGTTTTCCCCTGTCTAAAGAGAAGGTAGGCCAGAAAATAACAGGGAAAATGCCACTTGGCTAGGTATCAGTATATCAGATTTTCTTAAGATCAAAGTGTATATTTTCACTAAGGAAAATAGTATTTCAAAAGCAGGAGACACAGGGATTGTTCTGTAGATGGATCAGGGAAACAAAAGTGCAAAGAATACATCCTCAGCAGCTGGTCTGTGTCCGACATTTTTCACGTTTATGTATCACAACTCCCTGAAACAACCTGTAAGGTTGGAGTCTTCCTTTAGTCCTTAAGTGGTAACCAAGCACCAATTGGGTATAAGACTGCCACTGAGGAAATAGTTGTGAACAAGACCCCCAAAGTCTCTGCTCTTCAAGATCTTACCTTCTTGACATTTAATAATGTTAATGCTTGTTGAATGACCATGTTCCAAGTCCTAGACTATGTACTTCATCAGCATTATTCCAAAATCTCATGAGAGAGAGCCTATTGCCATTCCCCAGTTTATATCTGAGGAGTTGAAGGCACAGACACGAAGATGAACCTGCCCCAGACACAATAAGTGACAGAACCAGTTATCTAGCCCCCCCCCCCCAGTGTTGACAGCAACACCCAGGCTTGGTACTCTGCACCCTTCTGTCCCTATGACATGAATCTGATCTGGGTGGAGAGGATGGGCTCATGTGATCAGGGACTGGCCAAAGTGAGGCTCAAGCCAGACCTGTCTCTCATTAAAAGTGTTCTCTCTTCAGGCTACCAACAGCAATAGAAATGACAGCAACAGAAATACTGAATCATGGAGCCAGAGCAGACTGGATTGAAATTAGTTTCACTTCTATCATTTGAGCTATTTTAAAAAGTAGATTTAAAAAATACTTAATTTAAGGAAGACCTGTTGTGTAGTAAAATACTTTGAACCTCACTATCATAATAATAGGTCCTTATTTTTCCCTTCGTCCCTCCCTCCCTCCCTCCCTCCCTCCCTCCGTCCCTCCCTCCTTCCTTCCTTCCTTCCTTCCTTCCTTCCTTCCTTCCTTGCCTTCCTTCATACAAATACAGATTGACTACCTTCTAACTGTCACAGGCAGTGCTGGGTGCTACATTCCTAAAGCAGAAGGTAAAATGTTCTCCACTTTTCAGTGATTTGGTTAATATGTATTAAGTGGTAATATTTTCTAAGACATTCAGTAAAATTGATTGTTTCCTCCAACGGCAATTGTCTTCAAATTGGCAAATGTGATTCTTCCCTTCCCTTTGATCCCTCTTCAATGTTTTAGAATGTACACAAGTCAGTAAAGCTTCATCCTCAGGGCAGAGCAGGGCCTTGTGTCTAGGGCTGGAATTTCTGAATGAGAAAGGATTTCTTCTCCTTCAGCTGTTCCTGACCCTGAAGAGCTTGGAGAAGCACAGTGTCCAATCACAGATCATATTCTATGACCCATGCCCAAGCAGACTAATAAATGAAATCATCAGCATAGTGGGTGAACTGGGAAACAAGAACACACATAAGCGAAAGATTCTCCTTCGCTGTGTGAACCTATATTCATTGAAAGCTGAGTGCAAGATGATAGGAGACCCTTCCTCCTAGATAATGAAACTTCCATTTGTGGAGTCAGCCCTCCTGTAAAGGACACAAGCCATGAACAGGAAGCAGCCTGGAAGAACAACTAGGAGGGCTTAGGGATCATGCCCTCAGTAGCACGTCAGCAGATCGACACAGAATATGGATCAGGCACTAGTTAAGACTGTGAAAAATTGAGTTTTATTTTATAACCACAAGTTATAAGAGAGCAAAGCATGTGTTTTATGTTGTTTGTGCATCTTCAATCCCGTAGAGTGCACTTAACCAATCTAATCAGGCTACTAGAGCTGGGTGCAGTACTCATACCCATAATCCCAGTGGATCATGAGTTAATCACAAACTCCCATGAGGCTTTGGGATAAAAGGATGGGACATGATAAAAGGATGGGACAACTAGACACAAACTATAACCATACATTCCTGGGACCCAGCCGTGAAGGATGTTTTCTTTAGAAAACTTCATGGACACGACGAGGAAGAGGCCACACAGAACAAAGACTACCATGATGAATATACATAGATCCCAAGTTTATAGATCACTTGGAGAGTAGAAAAACATCCTGCAGTGCTTCAGAATGACTGCCATGGCAGTGGTCTATAGAACGCCTTGCTGGAAGAAATACACAGATAATTGTTTCCTAAAGAAAGCTGTGTAATCTCTTCCCACAGGAAGATCCCATGAGAAGCAGGCCAGTGTGTTCCAGCTCTGTTGATCTCTGCTCTTTCAGTTTATTGAAATTAAGATATGAAAATTTTATATCTTGTAAGATAGAGAAGTTGAAACCACTGTTAATTTCAATTTAACTTACATCCAAAAGAGAACACATTGGCTGAGCAACCCCCTTCACCAGTCACCCCTCTTCCTGTCTCTATTCAGGCCGATTAAACATACTGACATCTCCCGTATCCTGGCTGGGCCAGGTAGAGGTGGTTGTGGATATTTGTCAAAGGGTCTGGAAGGTGGGGCACTTCTTTTATGCTAGTCTTAGAGCTTCGTGGATCACCACTAGAAAAAAGTAGTCCTGCAATGCAAACGTGTTTCTATTGCATGTGCTTCGTAAAGCATAAAGTATCCAGAATTTTTCAATGCATTGAGTCAATTCATTTATTTTTGCTAAGATCAGCTTTAATTGTCAATCCCATAATTTAAAACTGAAACCTGGGCTGGCCAAATAGCTCAGCAGATTAAAGCACCTGCAAGCAGATGCAGGGACTGGGGTTTCAATCCCTGAGCCTGCCATGCTGGCTCCACCCCCAGAGCGCACTGAGATGGCAATTGAGACTGGGTATGGGGGCGCACACCTATAATCCCAGCTCTTGGGAGGCTGTAAACAGGCGGATCACTCTGCATCTGATCTAGTAGTGAGAAGCTTAACACCCTGTAGACCCTTCTCTAAAAATAAAATAAAGTAAAAAACAAAACTGGAACCTAAATAATATGATTCTTATATTGTATTCCTGATCAGAGGAAGTGTCTACAACCCAACATGTACAGCTTCCATAGGGAAAAACATCCCTGGTGAAGATAAGCTCAGAGTACAGACTTACCAACTGCAGGATAAAACAAACCATTAAAATGAGAGATCAAAATGGCCTGATAGCCAAGGACATAGCTCAGTGGCTCAGCGCCTGCCTGGCAAGTGTAAGGTCCTAAGTTTGATTCCCAGTCTTCCCTTCCCCCAAAATGTCATGATAAAAGGATGGGTTTAGAAAAAAAAAACACAAAAGGAGGGTCCCTCACTGCCCCATTGTGAGAAATACTGTGTGTATCGCTGCTCTCCTTCAGCTTCTGTTTTTCTTAATGACCCCTGTTGTCCTCCAGGATATATTCTTAGCAGTGTGCCTGTGTGCACAGGCAAGCGGAGGTGGGAACTGGGGAGAGGCAGAGGCAGAGGCAAGAGAGACAGATACTTTATATTTTGTCAAACCACAGCATCCAGTGTCTCTAAACATATGAGGTATGTGTTTAAAGAATTTTGTTAATAGATGAAAAACTATGGAATACATTTCTCATTTCTGCATGTGTAGGTGTCTGCCTGGAACACCCTCCCACCACTGTCACCATGCCCATAAACCCTTTTCTTTGCCTGCCTAGCTTCTTAGTTTTTAGCTCTCCCTGCATAATCTCCCCAGATCCCCAAGTCGAGATGTTTTCTCCTCTTTGCAGGTGCCATAGCACAACCCTTGACCTCACTAGAGCTCCATGAGGACAGGGACCAGGTCTGCCCTTCCCCTGGTTCTGAGTGCAGAATAGGTGAATTCTAAGGTGTCGGTCTACACCTCTTCCTTACATGCGCTTTAGCCTGTGTCTCTGAGCAAGATCTGTCAAGCACTTTTCAGACTGCAAATTGTACAAGGATGTCCAGCCAAAGGGGGAGAGAAGGCTATGAGCCAGCCCATGTTGTCACTGCCAAACCCAGAGGCAAAGGCACCTTTTTCTGCCTCATGCAGCACTACTGCGGGCCCTGTTCCGTGCTCTGAACAATACTTAGTGTCTGCCATAGAAATTCTCCTAATCCTTCTTCGCAAGGCCAGGTCTAAGTGATGTGATGAAACTTTCTTTAGATCTTCTTCCAGCCACCAGAGCCCAGATTCCAGCGCCACCCACAGCCAAGACCTGTCTCACTCTTCTTTCTGATTTTTGTCTCCTTCAGGGTTTGGGATGACAACTCCAGCAACAGTCGGAGGAAAACTCTTCCTGATCTTCTACGGCCTAGTTGGGTGTGCAAGTACCATCTTGTTCTTTAACCTCTTCCTGGAGCGCCTGATCACTGTCATTGCTTATATCATGAGATCGTGCCACCAGCGTCAGCTGCAGAGACGTGGGGCGCTGGCCCAGGACAGCCTGAAGGCCCCAGGGAAGAGGGAGTCAGACAGCTTGGCCGGCTGGAAGCCCTCGGTGTACTATGTCATGCTGATCCTCTGCTCGGCCTCGGTGCTCATCTCCTGTGGGGCGTCAGCCCTGTATGCCCCCATGGAGGGCTGGAGCTACTTCGATTCTCTCTACTTCTGCTTTGTGGCTTTCAGCACCATCGGCTTTGGGGACCTTGTCAGCAGCCAGAATGCCCAGTATGACAGCCAGGGTCTCTACCGCTTTGCCAACTTCATCTTCATCCTCATGGGCGTCTGCTGCCTGTACTCCTTGTTCAATGTCATCTCCATCCTGATCAAACAGTCAGTGAACTGGATCCTGAGGAAGGTGGATGGTGGGTGCTTCCATCAATGCCAAAGAAGACTCTTGCAGTCCCGGAGGAATGCGGTGATGCCGGGCAGTGTCCGGAACCGGTGTAACATCTCCATAGAAACAGACGGGGTGATGGAGAGTGACACAGAGGGGCGCCGTCTCTCAGGGGAGATGATCTCCATGAAGGACTCCAACAAAGTGGCATTGGCCATCCTCCAGAAGCAGCTGTCCGAGATGGCCAACGGCGGCCCCCACCAGACCAGCTCAATGTCCCAAGATGACGAATTCTCAGGGGGGGTCGGGGCCTTTGCAATAATGAACAACAGATTGGCTGAGACCAGTGGGGACAGGTAGAAGTGAGCAGTGGCTGCTGGGCACAGAGGCCTAGGGATGAGTGGGGATGCGGGACTGTCATTCACAAGAAACCCTCAGCCCTGAGCTCGCTGGCCTCATCCAGGGAGTTGATCCCTTTAGCTCCTCATGCTCAACTTTCAAACTCTGGGCCTCAACCAGTGGCCGCTTTCCAGGGCTGGGGAAGTGGAAAGCCTCCCTACCCATCTCCTTAGCATATTCCTTAAGTCTCAATCGAATCTTTGGCTCACAAACACAGCGTAAGACACTGCCTTATTGCTTTACTCATATTCTTCCAAAGCTTTACAGGAGATGAACTTGACTGAAGCCTTGACTTCCCCCTGGTATACTCTTCATTTGTGGTCGAAAACCCAAATTCTTCCTGAATGGTTGAATTCACGTCCTCACCCAGCTGCTTCAAGAAAAGGAAAGAAAATTCCAGAATGTGTCTGGGTCTTCTCATGGCTGGGCTTCGTTCTGAGCAGATTCATTGATGTTTCCATGGATAGGGAAAATATTCTGAGCTTAATACACATTTCTCAGATTTTTGTTCTGCTTTTCTGTTAATTTTGAAGACTAGAAGGTTCAGCTAAGGTATCCTGGGACTGCAGTGTGGTAAGAAAACTGAATTCAGCTTCAGGCCTTTGAACTGCAAGAAGAGGGTGGTAGGGCTGGGAAGGAGAAGAGACTCACATTTGTAACTAAAGAACATAGTTTAACATTTTCTCCTTAAATGGTCACATAGACCATCTCATTTTTACCAGGGTTTAGGGCCCATTACAGAGAGAATGACTATTTATTAGAACTGAAAATTTAATAAATTCTCATTTTATTAACTAAGATTTGATGGGTACTCATTGTGAACAGTGGAAGGGAAGCACCCAATTAATCAGGCATTGATTGCACTCAGGGAAAAAAAAAAAAAAGAAAAGGGAAATTGATATTAGGGATGTGTGCATCCCAACACAGTCTTGGCTGGAGATGCAATGCGGGTCACGAATAAAATTTGGCCTTTCTACTCCACTGTGGTATTGCCTTCTGGGACTGTAACAAGTCCAGTGGTCCCCGCCACCCACGCAGCTAAAGCGTCCACACTAGTAACAGAGGTTTCAGGTCTTCATAAATGTAGCAAAGAACATCTGAGCAGTGGTGGCTGACTGTTGTTGTCTTTATGCCATGAGAGGGGTCCATGCAGCATTTGAAGAAGCAATCAGAGAAGAATCCATAAAGAAGGCAAAACTGAAAGCCAGAGCCAGTGGAAGAGGAAGTAGAACAGAGCTGGGAGGACTCTTGGGAGCCACCTTATCCAAGCTCCCTATTGATGACACAAGAAATGGGCAAAGGAGGTTTTTCCTCATCTGTGGTGGGGGCAGAGTGATATGCAGCTAGGATGAACCCAGGCCACCAGCGGGGAGGTCACGGTACTTGGTCCCTATGCCACACATTCTTTGTGCCCTGCTTCTCCAGCTCCTCTGAAAGCTGTTGGGTTTTCTTTCAGATCAGTGTCTAGGTGTTTTCTCTACAATCCCAGAAGTGCCCAGTAGCAAGCTCCAATGACCTGCAGTATCTAGACTTTAAACTGAGAGCTGCATGGCTCCAAAGTCAGGGACTTTAAACTATTGCCCACATCCCTCTTAAAGAGAAGGCACCCTGGAGCTGCTGCAGAGCATGTGTTGGGAATCTCTGACCACAAACATGAGCTGCTCCTGAGCTCTGTGCTGAGAGCTGCTGGTCCTGGCCTTGGATGGGTTTCTTCATTTCTATATTCCTAGTGCAGGAAATGGCACAAAGAAGGTCCTTACATCCCCAGTGTGGGTCTCTAGAGACCATGGCAATATCCCAAGAGGCCATCAGTATAAGCAGGGGTCATCTGAGAGGATCACCTTTATGAAAGATTCTTGCAGAGAGATGTCATATCCAAAGACTTGGCTTCCTATAAGTGAGGTCCAAGATTTGCATAAAGTTTTAAACTAAATTTTTGGGAATTTAGTTCAAGCTTCCCTAGATTTCCTTCAATGTCTCAGAGAATGAGTTTGTTCTCTTGGATTGGGGGCTCCCTTGTGGAAATATCTGAGAATCAGTTTAAGGGGAGAGGTGTGGTTATTTTTTTGATAGATAGATGAAAGAAAGGAAGGAGAAAGGGAGAGAGGAAAGGATGAAATGAAGGAAGGAATGGAAGGATGGATGATTGGAAGGATAGATAGATGGGAGGATGGATGGATAGATGGAGGGATGGATAGATGGAGGGATGGATAGATGGATGAACGGATGCACATTTGGAAGAATGGGAAGAATATATGCAAAAACTTTCAAAACTAAGAATCCTTATTTAGTGAAGCCTCTCTGCAATTACTGTTAGACAAGGATAGGTCAGCAAGGATGCCATGAGGCTTTTGGGCTGCATCGGTGTCTGGGCTTACAGCTGGGCAGTATAGGAGTTCTCCACAGTATATAAGTATGAACTGGCCTTTCCTGGTTTTCCCATGAGCATCATCACTTATCCACGCTGCACCACACACCCATATTACTGTGTCTTAACATATTTATCAACTTAATTCCTTTTTTTTTTTTTTTTTTTTTTTCCTTTCTTGGCAGAACCAGGGATTGAACTCAGGCCCTTGCACTTTCCAGGCAAGTGCTTATTCTACTGAGCCATCTCCCCAGCCCCTCAACTTAATTTCTAAAACTTTGAATTACTACATGTTAGACTTCCTATCAGTGAGAAATACAATAATCATAAAAAATCAGTAAAATGAAAAATCAAACTGTACTATCAAAATCTAGCCAGATCCTGTAGTCTTATAAAGGCTCTAAGGCCAAGGCCTTTGCTCTCTGTTAGGAACTACAGAGGCCAAAGGACCAGAAGAGCATTGAAGTAACTTTCTTACACAAGGGTCCCTAAAATCAAATCAAGATCCACCCATACCCACATTTGGGCAACAACACTCAGATAATAGCACTGCATAGCTTCTGAATTCTTAGGTCTAAACACGAATGTGGGAGAGGTCAGGTGGGTCTGCTAGCCCCACTGAAAGAGGCCTAGAACCTTCACATCGGTACCGTGAAAACATTAACATTGGCTGCCTCTCAGGGCTATTGAGAGGATTGGGTAAAAGGGACCCTGGGGAGGACATCAGGGACTCGGAGGAGCTGCACAGACTGGGTTTGGGGTGGGGGTGAATGACATTACACCCAACAGGGAAAGATTTTGCTCTGTGCTTAGACCTGGCTCCCAGCTCTCATCACACCATCTTTCCATCAGGGCTCTTCTTGATGATTAAATGGCTTCACTCTTTGTGGTAGTTTCCTGCCAAGATGAACAACCCTGAAGTCTTTCCGTCTGTTCCAGAGGCCTTTCCTTTCAACATTGTCTGATTCAACTGAAACCTTTGACACAATAAAATGTGTTGGAAAAGCTGTAACATCTTTCTCTCTAGCATTTTCTGATACAAAAGCTTAGTCATTCATAATTGTAGGATTTTAACCTTGATAACCACAACATGAAAGAGGTGGGCACTTACTTTCATACCACCCAAATTTCTTCTGAAATAAGAGGGATGAATAATGGTCTTAATTTATGTACCCATTAACTGGCATTCAGGTTCATAGCGGTTCGGGAATACAGTTTGAAATTATTTACTTTGGCGTTCTAATGGTAATTATCTATTTCTCTGACGTCCTTCTATGTTTACTAATTAAAATTCTTCTTCATGGAAGTTTTTTTGCCTTCTCTTCAATTATCTTAGAAGATAACTAGCATTTCACGTAGGGCTGGCTTATTGGCATTGGGTCCCTTTGCTTTTTATTTGTCTATGGGGGCCTGCCCCTTAGCTCAGTTCTTTAAGTGGCTGCTTCAACAAAGCAGTCAGGCTCAGGTTGCTGTGGTTTGATCCCCACAACTGAAGCCAGCCAAACCTGCGCTGAAGGCATTCGGACCAAAAAAAAAAAAAAAAAAATCCTTCTGCTTTTTATTTGTCTAAGAAAAGTCTAGTTCTCCTCTATTTTTTGAAAGGTATTGTTGGTAGATACAGAAATCTATATTAACAGGTTTTGAATAATTTGTGTGGTTTCTGATGAGACCTTTGGTGAAATTCTTAGCTGGTTCCTATGAATGTAATGTTTATTTTTCCCCCCAGCTGTCTCCAAGATTTCTCCTTGGTTTTGTTTTTTTTACTGTTTGAATATGATGTGCTTGGGTGTATGTGGTGGCAGGGTGTGTGTGTGTGTGTGTGTGTGTGTGTGTGTGTGCACATGTACATACAAGTGTGTGTAAAAGAAATAATTGTTCCAGGCAAGATCCATTGATAGATGTAAAATTAATGATGAAAAATGTTTATGCAAAAATAAGATGTTTGCAGTCTCAAAAGATTGCCACCAAAATATCTGGTAATTGGAGAGAGAAAAATAATCACTTTACAGTAGAAAATGCTGGCATATACCAAGTTAATCAAGCAACCAAAGTTAACATTATAGAAAAGCATACCTGTGTCAGGTATGATCCGATACAATGCACTGAGAAGGGCCCAGCACGTCTGTGGGATCTTACAGTGACATGTCACTTTGATCTAATCATGACAAAACATCAGACAAATCCGAGTTGAAGGACATCCTACAAAATAACTGACTAATGCTCTTCAAGGCTTAAGATCATGAAAGATAAGACTGATGAGCTATTACAGATGAAAGGACACAGAGGAGGAGTGACAAAAAGTACAATTTGGATCAGGTCCTGGAACACAAAAGGACACTAAGGGAAGAATGGGAATGTAGTCAATAGTATTCGCCTAAGGTTAAATTCCCGGTTTTGATGATTTTTTGGTGGTTATATAAGAGGTTAACATAAGGGGAAGTTGGGCAGAGGATCTATGGGAACTCTTTGTACTATTTATACAACTTGACTATAGGTCTAAAATTATCTTAAATGAAAAAGTTAAAGAGAAATAAAGCAAGGCTTTCTGAAGGCTGCACAGCCAGTTACACCTTGACTTGGGCCATGGCTTGAGCAGACTCCTGTAATACTAATTTGGTTCTCACCTCCCACACAGATTTGGGCCACTGATCTAAAGTCCTGGCTTAGACCCATTCCAGTGTTTCAGTTGCTTTCCTCATTTCAAGGGCAAAATACTCAACACCTACAACTTGAAGGAGGTAACGTGTCCTTGGGCTCATATTCTAGAAAGTTCAGTCTTGCATACTTAGCAGCATATGGAAGGACTTGGCCAGAGGGCATCTGCTCACCTCCTGGCAGCTAGGAAGCATAGAGAAGAGAAAAGGGAGGTGCTGGGGAGGAAGCGAGATGCACCCTTCAGGTCATGCCCCTACTGACAGCCCCTTCCGGCCAGCCCCGGCCTCCTAAGAACAAGTCAGTTCTCCCACCCCTCATATTTCAATAACCTTCCAAATGCAGGAGGCTCTAAGGTGCAGAGGTGGCGGGCCATCCCAGCTCTAAACTATAACATTTTATGTCCCCAGTTTCCCAGAACCACAAACATTCCTTATTGCTAGAGTTTACATATTTTCATCAATAAATAAAATCTATTTCTTAATTTAAAAAAATAAAATAAACAATAAATAATAATGGTGTGGAGTGCAGTCCTGGCCAGTAGCAGCAGCTCCAGGGAACTTGTGAGAAATGTGAATTCTTGGGTCCCAGAGCCAGCCCAAGGAATGAGAAATGGAGGGCTGAGGTCAGGGCCTGGCAGTGTGGATTGGAACAAGCCCTCCCAGTGAGTCTTGCCTGTACTGCTCTTTGGGAGCCATGGGTA